TCTTCCTTCTTACAAAGGAAGCTAGGCTATGGGGTAGGTGAAAGAAGTTCTTTCAGAGAAAGAATGGCATGTGTTAAAGCCCTGTGGTAAGACCAAGGAGCTTCATGAAGGAGTAACCCCAAAAGCAAGTGGAAAGAGTGGTACAAAATGAATCTGGTGTCGACAGGGGCCAGAATCTGCAAGTCAAGAAGGCCTCATCAAGGGCTGGGCAATAGGAAGCTTATGATGTGCTTAAAACACAGGAGTGACATCATATAATTTGCTTTTACTTAAAGAATAATTCTAACCACAGTGTGGAGAAACTGTTGAAGAGAGGAGCAAGGGCAGACCAGCTGGAGGTTATTACAGGGGTCTAGGGAAAGATGTCAGTAACTTGGACTTGGATGGTATCTACAGGGATGGAAAGGGGAGCACATAATCCCAAGATTCTTAGGTAAAATCCACAGGTCTTGGTCAGGGTCAGTTTACATACAAGTCGGAGGATAGGGCACCACTTTTGTCAGTGGAAGAGAACATGAGAAGAAAGATCCTGTTGAGTTTGAGGTGCTTTTGAGCCACCCTAGTAAGGACAGCAGTTAGATGGTAGAAGGTGGAAGTTTAGGGCTCAGAGGAGAAGGGGCTGGAAATGCACGTCCGTGAGTCAGGCATCAGCAGTGGAGTGGCCACCGACACTGTGGGTTAGGACCTGGCGCTTTGGAAGAAAGAAGAATGGGAGGAAACGAGGAAAACCAGTGAGGCTCACCAGGGAACTTAAGTGCTCAAGCTCTGTGGCCAGGTGGAGAAGGTGATCCCAGAGAAAAGGAGGACCACCAGAACCAGAGACGACAGAGGGGGACCTTCCAGGAGGGAATGCTCAAGTCGGAAGGAGAGTAAGGCCAGACGAAGCTAAGGGAGGCCTGTTAACACGAGGGATGCCAAGGTCACGACTTGTGACTGCAGGAAACGAGATTTCAATGAGTGAAAGACAGAAGCTAGAATGTGGAGGACTGAGGCCAGAGTAGAAGGTATAGAAGGTGAGAGTGTGTGGACAGCTCTTTAGCCGTGGTTGAGAAGGGGAAGAGAACACTTCAGTGATGAGAGTTGTGGGGTCAGGCAGACTGTTCTGGTTTGTCCGAGTTGGGGGTGGGAGTGGTGCCAGCGTGCTGAAGCGAAGAGCTTGAAGAAACCTGAGCTGCGGTCACCTAAGTTCCCCGTCCCAGAGCCAGGAACCAAATGCAGGTGGATGGGTGCAAAGGCTTGTTCATTCTGGTAGTTTCTGCTCCCCTGGGGAACTCTTCTGAMCCTCTGGGTGTGGCCTGCCCAGGGCTTGGCCCCCTGGCCTGGAATGCCTGCAGTCCCTCCCTTCCTTGGCATCTCTCCTGCCTCCTGTCCTGCTGCCCTCAGCCCCTCTCCCGAAGCCTGCTCCACTGTTTTCTCAGCTTGTTCACCCACTGTTAAGTTATTAACTTGTCAGGCTTCCTTTCCCTCTTTGAACTCACTGTTGGCTCCCTTCCTGAACCTTCACTGCCTCGGAAAGTCAGCATTTAGAAGGCCAGGGTTGCTCTGCAGGTCAGTATTGACAGGCACACAGAATTACAATTAATTAATTGGTATAAAATGAGGAAAGCTTCTTCAAGACACTGATACAATGGAAAAAGGAACAATAAGCCCACCATCTGTCCATTGTCATTCAAAGCAATTTCTCCAAAAGGGGTTAGTTTTAAAGAGTCACCTATAAATACATTAAAAACCATTGGATTTTTACATGCTCATTATGGATTCAATTAGAATCAAAAATTATCTTTAATTTTTAAAGCAGAYTCAAAGAGGTAGGTAAGTTGTTTTAATGGACATCTCACTACTCACTCTGAGACTTGCACATTTTCTCTAAGATTCTTTAGAGAGATTTGCAGCAGTTCCTTAAAGAGAATTGAGTGGCTTTATCATTACCTAGAACCTCTGACGTCTTGAATGAACAATGTGGAGTATGATGGATTTAGACACAGGCTGGTTCCTATTTAACCTACAGCCCGTTTCTTGTCTAAGGACAAAATTAAGGGAGAGGTAACATTTTTGAGCATCTGGCATGAACRGACCACATACCTGTGTCATCATATTTATTCCTTGGGGTACTTACTTTCCACAGTTTTATGAACAGAGAACACAAGGCTCAGAACTGTGGTAATTCCCTAAGGCACACACTTTATAGAGTGTTAGACAGTTAAGAGCTGGTCTTCAGGGGCCAGGGTTGTGGCTCAGTRGTAGAGCATTTGCCTAGCATGCGTGAGGTTTTGGGTTGATCCCCGGTACCACATAAAAATAAAAACAAAATAAAGGTATTATGTCCATCTACAACTAAAAAAAAAAAAAAAAAGCTGGTCTTCCTGTTTACACATGGTCAAGTATCTCTAAACCAAAAATTCAACATCCAAAATGCTCCAAGATCTGAAACTTTTTGAGTGTCAAGTAGAAAATTCTACACTTTACCTCATGTTATGAGTGGTCGCAGGTACACCAAAAATATTGTACAAAATGACCTTCAGCCTGTGTATATGGTGAATGTAAAACATAAATGAATTTCATGTTTAGACTTGGGTTCCATCCCCACTGTATCTCATTATACATATGCAAATACTCCAAAGTTTTAAAAAGTCTGAAATCTGAAATACTTCTGGTCCCAAGCATTTTGGATAARGGATGCTCAGCCTGTGGTAATAATAGCAAGAGCTCTGGCCATGCATTGAATCTTTAGTGTGTAAGGAACCTCCATATATGTCATATTGCCTAATCCCTATGGTAGTCCTGCAAGGACCATGATCCTAGTGTCACAGAAGAGGAAACAACCTCAAAGAGTTAAATTATTTGTCCAGTCACCAGCTCTTCAGTAGTAGCTCTTCCATCTGACCCTTACATTCCTCTCTCAAGTCATCTTGTTTATTGAGATTAGGATGGTTCCCTGACCCCAAGAACAAAGTCTGAGGGATGGMAGATGTATTTTTTTTCCTAATGTTTTGAATGTACAAAACTGCTTCTTGGCATTCCCACTGAACCAGAATACAGACGCTTATTTAATCTTTGCTGCTCGTCAGCCTCGGTAGAGAACAGAACCATCAGATATTTCTGCAAGCTTGCAAGTTTTGGTAGGCTACTTTCTCATGCATCTAGCAGCTACCCCTGTCAAGACCCACTCAGGAACACAAACTTAGCCAAGAAAACATCTGAGCACAGCTAGAATTAAATATCACAAGTCATTGAACCAACTCATTCGCCTTATCTACAGAAGAGTCCCTCAGCCCACACGGAACTGTCATTTCAATTTTACACATTAATTCTAATGGTCCTGGTGTAAGCTTAGTCTGCAGCAATGAAATAACAGAAGCGGGCCCACTGCAGAGGAGTGTAGTAACACCAGAGATGTGACCAGAGATAAGAACAAGGAGACAAAAAATATGATAATAGAAACCAGAGCCCAGAAGCACTGCCATCCAGAGCTATTTGGGCACCAAACACTGTGTGTCCTCCAAAATAATATCACAGCAGAATATTATCAATTGTTTTGATTATGGCAAAACTGAATTTTCATGAAAAGTTAACACTATGCCCTGGCTGGTATCTCCTGTTTAGGAAGGCAGTGGTAATGTATGCAGTGTTTCTTTTAGAAAATGAGAAATGGCCAAAAAAGATGCATTAGAGCTTTGTCTACCCTTGAAGTCAAGCTGTCCAAGAAAGACCAGGAGTCTGTATTTTTCTTTGTATTCCCCAACCCCAATTCTCAGCACTTATTACAGATTAAGCATTCCTAATCCAAAAATGCAAAATCTAGAACTTTCTGAGCATTGACATGAGGCCACAAGTGGAAAATTCAACACCACGAAGCTTAGTTTCATGCATAAAATTATTTAAAATATTCTGTAAACTTATCTTCAGGCTATATGTATGAATAAAGCTTATAGGAAACATAAGTAGTATCTTATTATAATATGCAAAAATTACAAAATCCAAATTTCTACACACTAGCCTAGGTGCTCACTAACRTAAGACGACAAACTATCAAATGCCGTTTCCTGAGGGTTGGGAAGCCCTGTTTCACTGTGGTTACTTAGAAGCTATGTCCCTGGATATATTCCAGGATGACCTTTTGAAACAGAGGAGTGGTAAGACTCCTGAGAGCTCAGTGTTTATTCTGTTTTTACACGTAATTAAGTGAGRTGACACCCAGCCTCCTTATAGATAATAATAACAACAACATTTAACTACAGGGTAGTTGTTCTTATCATCATTATCACAGTCTGCAGCAAACTTGACCACTGTCGAACACTAGGGAAGATTTAAAAGAGAAATGGGGATTTTCTCTCATTTGAAACCCAGTAGCTAGAACCAGGCTGGGAGCTTTCTATCTGGTTCTCCCCTAACAAGCAAAGGATCCAGAAGTTCTCTGTGGGTTCCAGCCCCCCCTCCCAACCACCCCAGCTGGTAAAGATTGAGTGTAGCCCTGGGTGAGTCAGCGTTGCCCTGGGTGAGAGCGCCTTTCGGTCAGCAGCCAGGAGATGCACAGGCTTGGGCAGYGGAGACCCAGCTGTGCGCCTGCTCGGAGCACCTGGCTTTCCTTCCCTTTGCAGAGCTGGTTATTTTACAGGTCACGGCCATTTTGAAAAGGCAGACTCACTGACCTGTTTAATGAGTGCAGTTTCTGCTCCAAAGCCCAGCCGCAGAATATTGCTGGGGAAGGGGCCAATTCTCCTCTCCCCGCCRGAGGGGTTTCTGGCCTTAGCTCCTGGTGGAATTAGCAGGAGTTATCTATAAATCCCAGAGGCATCCATCAGCAGACAGAGCCAGGCTGCCTTTTGAAAGAAGTTCACTGACCCCTTGTTAACTTAACTCCTTGTTAGGAAATATCTAATCAGCTGTGGGCCAACCCGTCCAGGGCCCTGGGGTCAGCAGAAGCAGGGTGCGCTGTGGGTTGGGTTTCTGGCCGTGTGCTCTCTGGTGACTGGGCCGTCTGTTTTGGTTTCCTCTTTCAGCCATCTTTCAAATCATTCAGAGCATAAGGATGGGCATGTGAGGAGGCCGGGGCATCTGACGCTGCGCCCTCCCGCTGGAGGGTGGAGGACCACGGAGGCCTTTGGCGGGTATCTGTGGGAAGCCAACAGGCCACGTGGAATAGAGAAGAGGCTTCGCCACTGGTTCCCTGACCACTTCCGCCTGGAAGTCAGACCAAACTGCCTTCTCACAGAACATCTCGGTGAATCCGTGTCCTCCAGCGGAAAGGACATTCTGCTTTTCTGTTGGCGGGATTGGTAGCCACGCRGGTCGTCTGCAGCAGTGCTGTCTGTCTGGTTCCCCCTTGGTTTCACTAATGTGTGCATGTGGCCCTCTGAATGACCGCTGGTTTACTTTCTACCGATGCAATCTCTCCTCTGTCGGGAAATGGTTTTACAAATAAATGTCTTCATTCAACCTTATGCCATGTGTGGGTTTGCAGGGACAAAAGCCAAGGGGGGGAAATAGCAGAATAGCTTGAGGGGGGTTGGGGCAGGTGGGAGAACTMGGTGATGCTACTGGAAAAGGCGCAGGGAATCTGTGGACAGGGAACCAGATGTGGGATTACCCAGCAGGTCCTTGGCCAGACCCTCAAAGTCCTTTGCCTGAATGAAACCCTGAAGGGCTCCAGCKACCTTGCATCTTCCACACATTTGACTTTCATTCTTCTTTTCTAATGAATATATTTTTGTCTTGTTTTGCTTTTCATCGTTCTTTTTTCTCAGTCCAGAAAAGGCATCTACGATGCATGTGGAGGTCTGATTAGCCGTTATCTTCTCTGTGGTCTGTCGCAGAGCACAGAACAGATGTCACAGGCCTCCTGGTGAAAACTCTCCACCCCCAGGGCCCAGCTGTGGCAGATTCAGAGTCCTGGACAGAACAGGAGCCCTGTAGCACTCTGGGTGGTMAGCAGGCAGGATTGGGGGGCCCAGCTAGGGGCCCTCCTCTCCCTGGCCCACATTCCACAGCCTCTCAAAGTGTGTTATCACCAAAGAAAATCACAGAGAGAGGCACAGAGGCCTCTGATAGGACTAAAGCCCTGTGCAGATTTAAGTATATTTATTTTTTAATTTCGTCTTTGCATTAGCAATTGTTTTCATTCCTTACCTGGGTAAGAGCTTTAAAAAGGGAAGCGGCAGAATGGCCAGGGCTTCTCTCAAAAACTGGAAGGGTTTTAAGTGCACACTTTGAATTTGGGGCATTTTACTTACCAGAGTCTTTAACACCAGATCCTGTAGCAATGTTCTTCATAACTTCCTTTCTTCCCACCCTCTGAATTCCGCTTCAGAGGCACCTCGCCTCCTCTCTCTTCCTTCCTTTCCCACTAGGAGGGTATTGGAACTGCTCCAAAATCAACAGCCCCAGGGAGAGTCTGCCACCCTTRTGCCTAGGGACCAGGAGTCCAGTGACCTGTCAAGAAATGGAAGAAAAAGGCCCCTTGCCTTAAAGCTGCCCCTACATATACCTTTTCTGATGCCCTGGGTGTGGGCCTTTCTATTCTCCACCGATGCCAGTAAAAGCATACCCATCAAGCCACCATCAAAGGCCATTGCTTGCTGGAACATTGTGGTTCATCCTTTATTGGACAGAATTTCTTTTTTTTTAAACTCAAATATTTCCAAAACAGCAGTATTCAAGGGCATGGTTACTTCCATTTCAGAGAAAAGGAGTGTATCTGCAGCCAGAGCCACAGAGCCAGCTCCAGAGAACCCAATTCCATCCCAGGTGAGAGGTGCAGTGGGCTGAGCCGCTGCCATCCCTAAAACTGCCCCTGATGGATTTCTATCCCCAGGTCATGCAATCATCCACAAATTGGTTTTCTACTAGTTTCCAGGTAGCCTCCCTGAAGTACTTGCATAGGACAGTCTGCCCTCCCTGGTGACTTCTTTCATCAGTCCTCTGCAAGCAGAAATGACAGCTTCTGTAAGAAAATGAGGGTCATTGCTGAATTATGCTGTACGGCAGGGACTACTGATATTTTCACTGTGATGYATAGTAAAAAATAGGCAGTAGCCTGAAGCACAATGTACCCAAGAAAACAGGTTTTACACAACACTATCCTCAYCATATATAATGCATTCAGATTTTTTTCTTGTCTACTTAATTTTTTTTATTTTTATTTTTTTTGTAGTGCTGAGGATTGAACCCAGTGCTTTGTACATGCAAGGCAAGCACTTTACCAACTGAGCTATATCCCTAGCCTAAGTCTACTTAATTTTCTAAAATTCTGCTTTATAACTGAGTTCATAACCCATAAATCAGTTTTAACACTTATTTTGAGAAACTTCAGGGGAAATTTAAGTCTTTAGCTGGACTCAGTAAGGCAGGAAATTTGGAATCCTGCTTTTCATTCTAAGATGACAAGAATCTAAAGTCACTTCTCAGTCACAGTCCGTACCTCTGGCACATAATAAGTGACTTCTTTGAGGACTTAAGGTTTGTTGGCAGATGCAGAAAAAGCAGGTGGGCCTTTGGATCTGGCACCACCTTGAATTGATCAAAACACTGCAAAATGAAATGGCTTGGTCAAAGAAAAACCAAGAAGAGATCACTGTGTTTTTATGCCCTAAAAGAGTGCATAGGCCTTTTATGTAATCTTTTCATATCAAGTGTTCATTTTGATATTAGGAAAGAATAAGTTGTGCTACAATAACAAAAGTCCAATAGCATTTCCTTCTCTCTTAAAAGTGTGATGCCAGCTGGCAAGGGCTTCCCTCCAAGTGCTGGCTTGGTAACCCAGGTTCTACTGCTGCTACAACATAAGGTTCTCCCAGCAACTGGAAGAAAGGAAGACAGGGAGCAGCCGCTCTTGCCTTGTTCCAGAGTGGTAATTCACTTCCACTTACTGCTGTTGGCCCAAATTTGGCAAATAGTTAGGTTATATACCTAACTAATCAGCAAGTAGTTTGAGAAGTGTCAAGGTGCATATGGYTACATGGCCAAATGTTTCTGCCACAATCCTCTGCTACTGTATGTTCTGTGTGTTGCGTGATTRTAAGACCAGAGTTTGGTAAGGTCAGTTTTCTAGCCATCACCACCTCTTCTGGGGGACTTAATCACTCCATGCTCCTTTGGCTTCTAGAGTTGTCCCTGGGTACAACTCACAGATGATGGGTGAGAGGCTTGCTATGAGCCACTTCTCAGTCATAGTCCTACACTGGTAGGCAAATATGTAATACTTCACCCAAGCTAGCATAGTTTCACACATGAAAGCAAGTACTATTAATAATTCTACAAAAAAAAAAAAAACTGGCTAATCTGGAAGTGTCCTGGGCATATGAGAACAGATGATCCTCGTGAATAGATGCACAAACCCTCATCTCAAGTGAGAAAGTTTGCATTTCCACAAGCCCATCACTCACTGTATACATTTCCTAAGAAGAAATGTAAAATCCAGTCTTCCTACGAGGGGGTTAGATTCACAGCTAACACTTACGGAAGGTTTAATCCTCATGGGATGCCTCTCAGGTGGTAGTATAACTACCTGTCTTGCAGATGAAGAAACTGAAACATAGAGTTTTGAAATTTTTGCCCAAGGGTAGAAGAAAGGCTGAAAGAAAATCAAACTGGGACCCAAACCCAGACAGACAGTGCTCAGCTTGGGTGTTCTTCACCCYGCTCTGCCCCAGGAACACTCAGCCCCCAGGAATGGGCAAGGTTCTGCAGAGCACACCTGGGGGTGAAGGGAAATGGTTTTAACAGGATGATAGAAATACATCCAGTTCCCAAATCTGTATTATCTCTCTATGGGAAAAGGGCTTCTTTTTCCTTGTTTTTCATCTGGTTATTAATATTTTGATAAGCCATTTTCAGACTGGATGAGTGAGAGGGTGTTGGAGAACAGGTGAGAGTGGAATAAAGGTATATTTCTGGTGACAAGGCGTGAACAGGACCATCAGGGAGCAAGACCCACGAACAGGAAAAGGGACCTTGTCATTGAAACAACTGAGCCTCTGACTCCCTCAGGACATAAGCAAGGAGACTGGGGTATGTCTATCCCTACCTGGACCCCGTAGCAGGGCTCCTAAAGGCTGCAGGAACACAATGGCACCTCAGTGTCCTATATATTTGGGCCCCTCCCTTCACACTCGTGCTTAGTGAACCATCAAATTTTTCTCCTGAGGACATCAAGGTAGTTGCCAGAACACACCCTGGCTTTCAATATGACAGTGACACAAAAGCATCCATGCTAATATGCCTGTAACCCCTGTGTTTACTCTCTTTTCTGGAAGTTTATTTGAAAAAAAAAAAAGAGTGTGGCTGTGTCTCCACGAATGCTGTATGGGGGAGCACTTGGCTTCTGCAGGGAAATGTCTCCTTTGCTTCTTACAGCACGATCTCCTGTCTGGGTGCTCCTGCTTCCCAGCAAGTACTGCAGAGAGGCAAAGGATAGCAAAGGGACAGCAATGCTCCTGTGAATTAGTGCATTCACTGTCAGAGTCACCAAACCTGTATTTCAGGGGACATCTCTGCAGCTGGCAATCTCCCAGACTGSCCTGCAGCCCTAAAGCCGGAGTGGGGGTGGGGGGCAGGGCCTGGCTCTTGAAAGATGCAGATCCCTTGCAGGCTTTTGGTCGGAGTGAAACCCATCAGACTTCACTCCCCATTTTCTAACATCAGCGTTGCTACCTGAGATCATGGTTTATTTGTGTTGGAAAAGGCACCTGCTGCTTTCCAGCCTGGACAGTGTCCCTTGAGGCTGAGAGGCAAAAGACGCTGAGGTAATAACCCAGCCTGGCTTTGCTGCCAGTTGCAGAAGAGAGAGGAAGCCGGTGTGCGGCTTTCCCTTGGCCTTCCCTAGGCCAGCCGGGCAAACTAGGCTTCACGTCTTCCCAGGCACTGAAGCCACTCTTGACAACACTCCCCCAGGGTTGTGGGGTGCCTCTTTATACCTCTCTCTGTGTCTCTGCCTCCTTCCATTTTGCTGTCTCTATTTGTTTCCTCCCTCTCTCCCTCTCCCCCCACCCACCCACATTTTCTCTTACTAAGGAGCAGCCATTTCTACTTTATACCTAACAAGTCTATTCTCTGCTTTGAAATGCAAAGTATGCCCAGGCTTATGGTGTTAACACCACCACCTTTTCTCTCTGGCAGGCTAAGATGCCCCTGGCCTGACCAGAAGCCTCCTCCCCAGGCCCAGGAGGCTCTAGCACTTTCTCACCCCAAAGCCTGGCTTTTATTTTCCCTCTCGCTCCGAATGCTCCTTGCTGATCACTCCACTGGCAGGAGGGTCTAGGGCACATGCAGCATTTGGTGTGGTTATTTGTTTATCTTGATGCCAAGATGAAGTAGAACTGCAATCCGTGCAGCTGCCATCAGCATGAGGGACAGACACAGTGCTGAGGACAGCTAGGGGCCAGCCCTGCTGGGGAACAACCCCTCCTGCAGGCCTCTTGTCAATCTTTATCTAGAAACCAGACAG